GCGCTGACGGGCGACACGGTCTAGGGAGTGTTTTGCCAAGCGGAACCTATGGTTTGTGCGTGATAGTGAGTTGCGCCGTCTGCGAGAGAAAGGGAGGGGATAGGGAAAATGTATCATACATTCCATCAGCGCCAATTGTCAAGGCATTCATGATCTCCGCTTTCATGTGCGGCGGTAGGCGCCGAAGCTTTGGCTGGCGCTCTATCTCTGCTGTGACGAACCTTTTGATATCACCCTTGATATCTGCCGGTTTGATCGCTATACTCGGGGCCCCCGAGAATGCCCACTTAATATCTGCTTCCTGGCGACTGGTGATAAGAAGATTGACCTTCCCGCTCGCTGGCTCATGGAGTTTCGACAAGCTGTCAAGGATCTCCGAACGATCCTGGCACTCATCTAGGGCGTCGATTACTATGACGGTCTTGGGCCGAGTTTCTAGCAGCTTAGGAGATGGGAGGGGAGGGGAGGGGAGGGGAGTGTCAACGGGGAATGGGTGGGAAGGTTCGGACGCGTAGGGGGAGGTTGACTTTGGTTAACCCAGGAGAAGAGGGAGCCGCAAGGTAGAAGCAGTTAGAAAGAAAAACGAGGATCGCCGCGACGTGACGACTGGCCCGTCGCCTATCGCTAGATGGCGAGAGACAAACGACACAGGTCCAAGTATGATATCGTAACGTGCAAGAGGTAAAAAAGAAAAAATAATAAGAGAGCGTGTATTCTTTCCTCTTCCCTCTTTTTTTTTATATAAAGCAAAAAAAGGGAGAAAATATTATAAGGAAGGAAAGAGTGTGTAGAGAGAGGGAGAGAGGGAGAGAAGGAGAGAAAGCACAATTTTGCTTACCAGCCAACCAGCTCTCTGATGTTGTGATGATGAGGATTATTAACTCTTCTTTTCCCTATTCCCTCCTTCTACCCTTTCCTCCCAGTCCTCACTGTGTTTTTAATTCACTTCCTCGTCCCTCCTCTTCTTCCTCCCCCTACCTCTCTCCTTCTACTCTTCCTCACTTCTCTTTCTCTCGGATCTGGTTCTTTCCCTTTCTCCCTCGACACACGAATTCTCACGCCCCTTCGACCGGTAATCAGCCACTCAAAAAAAGCACAGCAATGGTTTCCTCACTGTCACTCTCGCACACACTCTCTCCCCCTCCTACCCTTTCCGAGCAAAGAAAAGGAAAAAAGAAAAAGAAAAAGGTTTGGTTATCCTCAAAGAATTGGTCCAACTTTCTTTACCTTAGGCAGCGTACGGTAATTTTTCCCTTTTTTTTTTTTTTTTCTTCTCCCTTCTATCGATTATGGACTTGATGAGGGAAAGTAGAAACAAACTTTTAGATGGAATGGATGTGCTCACAGATTAACACGGAAATAGAGTACGATAGGGTGGGTAAGTAAATACCGGCACGGCAGGCAGTTAATCGGAAAAGGGAAGCACAAAAATGTGTGGAGGGAGGTTAGGTCAGGTCAGGTCAGGTCAAGTTGATGGGGGGGAGGGCGGGGGTAGGGCGAGAAATGAGAGTGATGAGCGGAGGGCGCAGCGGTCGGTCGGTTGGTCGGTCGGGAATGCGATGCTCTTCCATCTTCTCTTCTCTCTCTCTCCCTCACTCCACTCCAAGTCTCCAACCAAGCCAACTCAACCCGACCAGCCAGCCAGCCAGCCAGCCATCCACCCACACGCCCAACAGGTGAAAAGAAGAAAAAAAGCTCGCTCTCGAGCTCCAAAACCAAGACTCCAATTAAACCCACCGTAACTCGGCAAAGTACTTGTATCATACAAAAATGAGATTAGTCCTCGAACATGTTATCCACGAGAA